TGTGTCCTGAGGCTGACACTCCACAGGTTCAGCAGGAGCAGCTTCTTCAGAGTCTGAGTCTCAGTCCTGGGTCATGACACTTCTGCTGGCAACTCCCCAAAATCACTCAACAAGTCCTGTAATGCAGCTGTAGTAGTGACCTCTGTGACATTGGTTTTTTAGTCTGGTCTACCTTGTAGGGCTGACAGCAACCTCCCAAAGTACTGTGTGTCTCACTCTTGGGGTGATTTTGTTGGATTACCACTACTGGAAAATGAACAGCACTATTGTATTTTCTCCATTTGTGTACTGTACACTATTTGCCTGACTATGGATTAATGGAAGCCAAAGTTTTTGACAATGATTTTGTAGCCTTTTCTAGCATCATGAGTATCAACAACCCATGTTCTGAGGTCTGCAGGGATCTCTTTCAATTCATGTCCACGAATCCATGTCATGAATAACAGTCTCTGCTAATCACAATCAATATCTATGTGCATTTTTTAGGGGAGTGCCCCTCAAACCTATACCTGATTGTCATCTATTGGATTGGAAAGTTTGTCTCAGTTTACCCCCTTAAGAGAACGGTTTATCTCATACTTTTCTTAAGAAATAGTATATTAGCTCAGTGTGTTCCATAAAGACATGACACACTACACTGTTTTGTATGTTGTTTGTTTAACCAGAATCTCTTTACCCATTAATAGACCTTACAGGAAGCTCTGAGTACAGTATAGGTCACAGTATTTCAGTATTATGGATAGTTCTAAAGAATTCACAAACTTTCTCTTGACGTAAATATAGCTTGCTCTAAGGTTGGTGATTGCTGCCTTGATGTTTTACCCTTTGCATTATTGTCACAGATTGTACTTTTTTCCATTACACAGACACTTCACATTCCCTCTTGCTCATTTACTACTCCCCCAATATACCGTTATATGTGCCAATCAAGGATGACATCTCATATATCTGGTGAAATAGATTCTAGTCCATTGAAGGACACACATCTTGTCCATTAAAAGGACAATAAATCTGTTGTTTTAATCATACTTGTTGCTATGAATGTAACATCTAATTAGGGCTAGGAATTCTGGGCTTTACATTGAACCTTGTAAACTTTAGGACATTACACTTTTGGATAAACCAGGCCTAGTTGTTTGCTATTGTCTAGTGATCATCATCTTTTTGCAACCCAGAAGTGATAGGCTTACTTTACACATTCTAGGAATTGGGTAATGCAGTCGTGTTTGGTAAACAGCTCTGTCCCTGCTGCATCTTGCACTTCAGAGTGTGGCATTTCTTGGCTTCCAGGTTCTGTATGCTTTCCATGGCCAGATTTGATCAGAGCTGCCCCCACGTTTGTCTGAGACCTGCTGTAAAGATAGTAAGGAGTGATATGCTGGGTGGGTGGCCAAAAGCCGTGAACCAGAATGACGGTTCTTGTATATGAATCTCTTTTTTGGATTTTAAAAGGAATGAAGATCATTAAGGCAGCATGAAAAAGTTCCACTGAATTCAGTTGTGCTTGTGTTGGGTAAATTCAGACTGACTCCTAGATAGCAGCAAATGTAGGTCATTTAGCATAACACTAGGGCAGTGTTGTCCAAACTTGGCCACTTTAAGATGAGTGGACTTCAACTCCCAGAATTCCCCAGCCAGTCCACTCATTTTAAAGTGGCCAAGTTTGGACAACACTGCACTAGGGGCATCAGCAGCGATGGCCACTGGCTCCGAAATAATAGGTGTGACTGGGTGATCAAGCCCCGCCCCTTTTTAACGTGCACTACATGCATGTAAAAAGGAGTGGAGCTTTGGTTGCCTGGTTGTGCCTGCCAGGGTGACGGTTGCTGTGAATGCCTCTGCATAGCATCACTGCCTTGACATAATCCTGAATGGGGCTGGTGAACAATGTAGACTTTAAATCAGTTAACGTATTTCTTTAAAAATAGAGACAAAACAATAAGTGTGAAGTTTCTGAAGTATATGCTGTTCTGGAAAATGTATTCATGCTATCTGGTAGTCCTGGGGGCCAGTATTGTCCACCTCATCATTTTGCTCCTGGAAAGGACTGCGATGTTTGGGCAGAAAATAGAAAAGAGGTTTTACCATGGATCTCAAAACATCTCTCTTCCATGCATTCAGCCTGACTGGCAGATCCAAATGGTAAAATGGGCGTATCATAATTATATATAAATGTAAACACACACACGCACACATTAGGAGCCCATTAGGAGCACCAGTTTTATAGTTGAATGGCAACAGCAAGACATTTCTACACATTTAATTATCAGTAAAGCAAGAAAGCTAAAAAGATATTCTCCACTAAAAGCAGTGATCTTCTTATACATCCAGTCAAGTATGCATAGTGGAAATTACTTTCCGTATCAGATAATGAAATAAACATGTTAAGGATTATAAAAGATTTATATTTCAGATGATAAACAGTCAGTGCCATCAGAAACAATTATGCAGGTGCCCAGATAAGTGCGTATGCACATGTATAATAAAGGCTGAGAGTTGACCTTAAGTGATTTCACAGGCACGTTCATGCAGGGTTTTTTTGGTAATGCTATAGAAATGATGTTTTCCCCCTGCCTTCTTCCAGGGTATTTTCTGACTTTCCAGTGAGGCCTACAGCCTTGGGATTCCCTGTAGTCTCCCATCCAAGTACTAATAAGGCCTGACTCTGCTTAGTTTCCAAGGTCAGACAGGTGTTGCTACCTGCTAAGGCGTGGATATATCCACACGTATTTTGACATATGAGTAAATAAAAGGCAGTGCAGGCCGAACTCAGGCCGTCTTCATTCTGGGGTCATTAGACCACAGCTTCCAGGTTGTAGCCAGCATGATGGCTGATAGCCATCTGTGGCATACTAGGCTGGAGAAGATTGTTCTAATTCAACATTGCTTAATAATGTATTGTCTTTACAGTGGCATAAGCATCCTTGTTTCTAAAAGATAATAATAAAATTTGGCAGTCTGTTGCAATCCAGGAATCATTGACACATGCAGCCCACACCCATATTCCTTCTGAAGATTTCTCCAGTATGTGTGTGTGTATGTGTGTGTGTGTGTGCTTGCATGCCCACAGACTGCTGATGTGAAGCTACTGAATCCTGTAGAGCTTTACCTGAGAAAAGAAAATAAGTGGGGAGAAAGGGGGATGCCTTGCTTGTAAGGGTACCTGCAAGATGCAGACACTTTTAAGAACATGTGAGCAGACCAAAGAATCATTTTGCTCAGTAGAAATATATTAAAAACATAGGAATAGACTCCCAGTGCAGAGAAAAAATGCCTCTTTTCTTCTGCCATTCTGTTCAAGCCTATTTTAATGGAACCTCACATTTTCTCTAGCTCCTTTGTATGTTAAGCAAATAATTGGCATGTACTGTAAAAACGTCAGTTTGGGACTGCTCTTTATGAAAAGCACAGGACTGGATGTGCAGCAGTGCAAATCACTGCTTAAGCCAATGGTGCTAAAGCATGCTGTTTGCTCTCTGGAAAGATGCCCTGTTAAATCTGTGTGGGCTAGAAACCTATTTCATCAGCACTAGCAAACTACAGTATATGCAAAAAACGAGGATGGATAGATACTTGGGCTGGGTTAGGTGACAGGTATTCTCACTTTAGAAAAAATGGCCGAAAGGAAAGCCAACAGAGGGAGATAAGGAACTGAAAAAGGGGGGATAGAAAACTAACTGAAAAAAAATATCAAAGTCAAGCACAATTTTGGTAAGGGAAGGAGAGGAATGAAGAGAATGTTAGATAGTAAGACATGGCAGACACAGCTGTGATGAACCTTGGAAAGACCTTATTAAATCTCTCAGATCACATACTTTGCCTCTTTTCCTTGCATACTGGAAATAGCAAAGAAGATATTTTTCTACTTTTCCTGTACTTCAGGCTTTGGAACATTTGAAGAAATGAGAAGAATTAAATTAAATTAGATGTGCTTTTCAATCATGATACTGAGATAGTACTGTATACAACCTGGTGCCTTGTGTTGGAGTAGAATTCTTATTATTGTTCATTATAACTGCTGGACACCAGGTTGGTAAAAGCTACTCTAGCAGAAATCATGATTTGGCTGGAGTAGAAGTAGGGAATCTAGTGACTTCCTAATGTTTTCATACATGAACTTCCAGAAGCCTTTATCACTGGTTGTGCTATCTGGAACATACAGGAGTTGTAATCAAAAACATCTGGAGAGCATTATGTGGTTGACCTCTAAATATTCTTTGTACTTTACATTGTTTTGAGCATGGTGTGGGAAGTGAAGTCGCTTTTTTTTTTGGTCAAACAGATGGAGAGAAACCCCCTTGGTTCCTCTCCTGCTTTAAACTTATGTGACATGCAAAGACCCTAGCATAAATTAGTATTATAGCAATCTATAGCATTGACTCTCTTCACAATATGATGCATGGTGAATGCCAGATTCATGAATATTGCCAAACGTATGTATGAGAGAGAGAGAGAAGATGTCTTAGGAGCATAGTGAAATGAAGCAAGTAGCAAAGAGAAAGTGTGGGATGATTTCAGGGATAAGCATTTTTATTTTGTCTTCTGAATCACACACAATATTTTTTGTATTTTAAAATGAGATAATAAAATCAGGAATGTGGCTCTTATCACCATGTAACATACACAGGAACTACCTTCGTATGCTGTAGGAGTAGAGGTTTATGGGACTTTTCAGAGGAGACTTGGATTCAGCAAAGTTCACTGGATGGCCTTAAAAATCTTTTACCCTAGCCATCAGCTTTAGATTAAAAGGGGATAACCCTATAAACTGCATAAATCCCCGAAGAAGCGATCATATGATGATAACATCCTAACTAACCTACTGTGTTTATTGACTCTTTGATTCAGGGTTGACTTTTCTTAGATTTCTAGATGAATAGGATGAATTTTTGGAGAAATGGACAATTGAGACTTTAATGAGTTTATATTGTATATAATGCTGTCACTGCAAACAGTTTTGGCCCTTAAGACTCTCCTAACAGAGTGTCAGGATGCACTTTTCAGAGTGAGGTCTCCAGATGGGAAGCATGGCGGAGACAGAAGTGCCTCCTTTCCTGACCCTCTGGCCTATGCACAATTAGTACTGGGAAAAAACGAGCATCATGGTAAGTGGGTGGGTTTTCATTGATAACCAACTGGCTAGAATGGGAGCACCACTGGTCATCCTGGCAACCACGGTCAGTGATGCTGCTGCTGTGACTTCTCCAGAGTCCTGTCCTGTGAGAACCATGAAGCTGGCATAAGGAGAAGCGGCTAGTGTTCAGAGAGAGCTGTGAGTGTGCACTGCAATTGTGGTGTGAAAAGACAGAGCAGGTACTAGAGGCATGATAGCAAGTCTCACAGCCACGAGTAATTTCACTGTATCTGCGAATGGAGTAGCTGTTGCATATGGGAGATTGGATCAGGTCCGCGAGCATGGCTTCTGAGTAGCTGGGAATCACCTGGCGATTGGTGCAGATGTGCCACTCGAGCTCAGCGCTGTCCTGAGTGCTTACCCGAGGGATTCGGTATCTGTATAGGGGCTCCTCTGCCACAGGGGGAATGCTGTACTCCACACCAACAAGTTTCTCCACATGGTAGTGTACATGTGCAGTCTGATACTCTATGAAGACTCTCAATGGCCATGAAATCATCATCAAAGCAGCCACCCAGAAAGCATAATGGGATATGTACCAGGGAAGATGATTTGGGTCTCCGTAAGCCATCATTATTTCTTTGAAGTCTATATTTTTGAGTTTCATGCCTTCTCTAACCTCCATGTAATCATCCAGCCCTTCTATCTCTGTGAAGAAATGAGCTCTCTGTGCCAAGTAAGAGTTCTCAGACTCTGTGTTGGCAAAACTAAAACATTTAGTGAACTTTAACTTTGTGGTGGAATACCATTCCAGGCCCATGAGTTCCTTAGAGATGTCTTTGAATCCACAATGAGAATAGTCAAATTCTGCTTCGGCCACATGGGTATTGACTCTCTCATGGTAAACCTGGGTAGTTGTATAAGCATCACCGTTGCGATACCGAGTCACCTGCCTTGTTCGTCGGACAAAGTGGTAGCTTATGGCTTTCCACCATATACATGGTGTGGCCTGTTTCATTCTGGCAATTCGATCATAGACACTTTCCACATCAGCTTTGTATTGAAGTTCACTTTTTGTACGACAGTGCCAACACTCCACCAAGTAGACTACATAAAAAATAGCAAGGAATGCTAATGGAATGTACACATAGCCATCTGAGCAAGGACTGTCATGGTAAATCATAGACTTGCCTTTGAAAGAACTATCAAAACTGAGCTTAGTGACTTGAGTGAGTTGGCACCAAGCTATAGTCCCCAGGCAGCTATATATCAGAAGTGAGAGGAGGAGACACTTCCAGTGAGATTTTCTGCACAGTGAAGAACTCAAAGTTTGCTTGATTGGTCGTTGCTGAGAATCAGACAACAGAAGAGAAAAAAAGAAAGAACAGAAATGAAAAGAGAGAAAGCATTTTTTTGTGAAAGCATACAGTAAACAATCTTATCTTACATGTTTAAGACTGAATATTAGTCTTAGACTTAAGACTGAATGAAGTAGGACACATATCATCAGCATTTTCAGGTAGAGGATACACAAAACTGCACCATGTCCCAGGTGGTCCCCTCCAATAAATAAACAAATAAATTGTTTTAAAATCATTCAGCTGTTCAGCATTGTGCAAGAACACAAGTGTTATGCAAGATTTGCTAGCTCCCCAGATCTGGCTATTTTACAATGAAATTAATTTATTAGTTTTTAACAGCATGAGGAGTAAGCCCTGTCCATAAGTGCCATGTTACCAATCCTTCAGTGTTTTCAACTACCGCACTGAACAAGAAATGTGGAGTCCTAGGTGCTCTCTGATCTTGGTTGTTTGCTTGCAGACGTCTCATTACCAGACTAGGTAACATCATCAGTGCCCTTCAACATCAGCACTGATGATGTTACCTAGTTGGGTAATGAAACATCTGCAAGCAAACTACCAAGCTCAGAGAGCACCTCGGACTCCACAGTTCTACTCTGAGCTACTCTATTTGAACAAGAAATGCCCTACAAAAAGTGAATTTGTAAGCTCACATAATGGGGATGCGGTGGCGCAACGGCTTAATGACACTGAAAGTTGCCGGCCAGAAATGGTCGACGCTTCGGCGGTTCGAGTCCAGCCATCGCGTTAACAGGG